AGCAAGTTAAGAACATCAAGCAAGTAAAGTACATCAAGCAAGTAAAGTACATCAAGCAAGTAAAGTATACCAAGCAAGTGAAGCATATCAAGCAAGTAAAGTACATCAAGCAAGTAAAGATCATCAAGCAAGTAAAGTGCATCAAGCAAGTAAAGTACATCAAGCAAGTAAAGTAAACCAAGCAAGTAAAGTAAACCAAGCAAGTAAAGTACATCAAGCAAGTAAAGTACACCAAGCAAGTAAAGTACACCAAATAAGTAAAGTACATCAAGCAAGTAAAGTTCATCAAGCAAGTAAAATACACCAAGCAAGTTGAGAACATCAAGCAAGTAAAGTACATCGAGCAAGTAAAGTACAGCAAGCAAGTATAGTATACTGGGGACATAAGATGTTGTTGTACACCAAGTACTAACAATTAACTATATGTGGATGCATATATGGCATTCTCCCATGAAGTATATACCATCAGTTTTACGATGAAGCGGCAGCAGATCATGCTGTCGTTTCTGTCTGCTTCTAGTTCAACTTCAAAAGCTCACAAACACAATCAGATAAGTCTTAAATACGGTGTAAGAAGTTAACATTAAGCCAAGTCTCATATATCACAAATGACTTTGGTTTTTAAAAGGTCTTGACTTCAGTATGTAACTTAATTTTCTGAACAGTTCGCCTTTGTGTTCGGGCCTCGCTATTTAGTATCGATGTTTGCATCTTGAACAATACTTTACAAAATACTAAATCTCAAAAAATACTTTTTTCTGATAAAAATAATGAATGCTTCGGTGTTAATATTTTGCCTCAAATCACTGGAAATTGTGTTTCCGAGCTTCCTGATTTCAAAAATTTTCTGGGGGGCATGCCCCCATACCCCCCTAGAGGAGAAGGGGCCTTTGGCCCCTTTCATCAGCTCCAGTGGATGCTAACAAAAGGGAGACACCTACTTCAAATGTTACTAAAAGCACTGGTTTTCTAAAAAAAAGGTTGAGTTTTTTAAAAAACTTGAGTTTTCAAAGGAAAAAGTTTAGTTTTCTAAAAAAAAAGTTTTCTAGTTTTCTAAAATAAATGTGAGTTTTCTAAAAGAAACACGAGTCTTCTGAAAAAAAGCTGAGTTTTTTTAAAAGAACCTGAGTTTTCAAAGAAAAAAAAATTAGTTTTGCAAAAAGAAAAGTTGAGTTTTCTGAAAAATGTTAAACAGGCGAAATAAAACCTTAAACCAAGCACATGGAAAAAAGATACTTATTTCAATTTCCGTGAAAATAAAACAAATAGGTTTCAATGGCCCTTATGGGCCACCCTAAAATCCCGATTGTTTACCAAAATCCTGATTCCTATACTTACAGTAGACTGCTTCAAAAGCATACCCTTTACAGCAGCGCATACTCAAGCCCATTTTTATCATTTCCCTTCCAGGGTTTCCCGAGTTGTGTATTTTTCGGGGTATTGTTTTACTTTTGCGTCATTTATTAGGATCAAACATCACATTACTCTAAATGGCACAATCTTTAGTAAGGTCGAGTACTGTGTATAACTATGGAAAAGAGTAACAGTACATTACACTTTATTTCCGATTGTGGACGTTTTTAACTTACATGTACGTCAATTAAGCTTGTAAGGTGGAGTGAAATTCCTTGTAATTTTCGCAGTCTTTCCCAGGGTTAGTGAATTTGTGTTGATTTATTTGAACTTTTACCATTGACCCTTGCAATGTAATTCTTACAAAGAAATTGAATAGCCGCGAAAAGCAGCTGACTTGACAGATCGCAAATTGGTATGTTACCCATGCAGTTTTGGAGAAGATGCAGCACTATGCAGCTTTCTGGTGTTCAGATAAGTACCTTTAGCCATTTTAGCTAGTAATAGTTTGAATAAATCAACACAACTTTACTAACCTTGGGGAAACTGCGAAGATTCCTACGCAGGACAATTAAAAAGAAAAGCACATGGAAATGCACAACGTGTGGGTACACCTTCAAAGCGAGGCATCACATCAGACTGAGGCCATGTGTTCCAGTCGTACCAAGATGGCATCCAAACCCTGAAATCATCTGGCATCACTGAAAATTGTGGGACATTAACCTACAGGAATGACAGGATCAAAATGCATTCTCCTATCGTCAAACTCAAATTAATAAATAACTAGGTTACATGAATGGTTTCTGTTCTGTAGGCATATTTTTGGAAAATCATTCGGGTATATATTGGTCAGGAATATGTGGTCCCTATTTTTCCTAATTAGATGTTTTTGAGGTTTACCTGTCTGGCTTTGGTGCATGTAGGATATTATTGATGCATTGTTTATTCACTTTGCTGTAATATTATTGACATGGCAATTAAAGCATATCTTGCGTCTCAGGCTCACCAACATGCCCATGTTCATTACCTTTGAGTGTGTCCGGTTGTGTGGTAAAGGCAGAATTCACTCAATTTGCTCACTGAATGACTCATTCTACTGGCCAGCCATGTTTTTTATTTATGGATATCACAAGATGGCTTAAAAAGAATTTTGGTTGATCAATTTAGCATGTGAAAAATTTCAGTGAAAGAAGTTTTGGTTTCTTTTTTCAAGTTTTGTTAGTTGCCTTTGTAAGATGAATGATGGCAGCTAAAAACCCAATTGATAGTGAAGGTTTGAACTCCATTTTTGTGTTTTAAGCACTTAAAAATTAGGGGTGTTTCTAACAAGTTTTGTTTTTGCTATAGTAACCTGTCATATAAAAAAGGATGACTGCAACTTGAATACCAGCAATATTATTGTTCATTATGTGTGATACCATTATTGTAAGATCATATTGCAAAGAGTGATAGTGTTGACCCGTCAAAGTATAAGTGATGAAAGGAGCTGGAAACTATTGTTAGCCACCTAAAAGCGAACACTATTTGCTATTTGACATTTGCATATGGTGATTTCCATGTTGTGATTATGGAGATTTCCTTGGCTTGTTTGTTCAATTCCTTTGGTGTAGTGAAATGCTTAGTGGTTAATTTCTTTAAAGCTAATTTTTTTTGAGTAAATGATTAGTTTTTTATGGGAGCTCAGCTTTTAGGCCTGGCTAAATCTGTTAGTACATTGTAGCTCTAACTTTCAAAGAAATGGTATTTATTCAGTGCATATATTTTTATTAGGTTAGGCGTCGCCGCCTGGCCAGGTTGAACCAAGGTGCCATACCAATGTCCCATGCTGCATCTAACAATCAAGCCATTCCTGTAAGGACAAGCCTCAAACCCCTGTCAGAAGATTCAGCTGTTAGTACCCAAGACAGTGGTTTTGGATCTCTGTCACAATCTTTTGAGTTTGATGATCACTCACAAGACACTGGGGATAAGTGTGGCAAGCGTACCTCCCCAACTTGCTTATCTTCTCCTTCAGAAAATTTCAAATCCAAGAGAACAAGGGATGGATTTGATAAAGATGACTCCTCCCATATGAAGGTTTGGTAGCTGTTCTTTTAATTAAATACACAATTCATTACCTGTACGTTATATGTACCCAGTTTCCTAATGGCTCAAAGAAACCATTTGGCATATTCATATATCATAATTACTGATAAACCAGATATCTCTTAAAGTTTCATGGTAGGCAATACATTTTAAAAACGATGTAAATATGCTTTATTTTTGGTCCTGATAATCTGTTTGTTGCTCTGAACAGTTGCTCTATAATTTTAGCACTGAGGCAAAATGATAGGTGTGTTTAATTATAAATGTGATAGATCAGAGAAAGAAAAGAGGTGTGAAAGGTGAGACTGGAGAAAATGAGGAGGATTTGTATGAAAATAGATTACAAACAAGGAAGCAGCAACCCATTTCTGAACAAATTATTAGAGCTTACTTTGAATTCCATCACCTGCTGATAATTTCAGTACATAAAAGATAAAGGTTAATCCAAGTAACTGCATTGTGACTGATATGTACACTTGTAACAGGTGCAAGGAAACTTAAGCAATGTTATTATTAATCAGTATTATTCTATACCATCTTCAGACTCAAAGAGACATACAACGTACACGGTTTGAATACTAGAAGGTGCTAATTAGCATTAGTAAACATGTGAGAAGCAGAAACAAAGATGATATGCTCAGGAGAAAAGATGTAATTCTCTGCTAGATTTTAAGCCCGTTGTTCAATTATAATGTTAGACGCTTAACATAATAAGCTTCTTTGTACAGGAGTAGATTCCAGTTGTCATCACTGTCCAAAACCTTGGTGTTACAATGAACTGCTTGAAGAAAGAATTCTTTGTTCATTGAATTAGAAGGTGGAGAATTTAAAAATGTCAGGCAGCTTGTGAATATCTTGAATATGTTTGAAAAGGTCACAGTTGTGTGAATGATTGTAGATGGCACTTTCTTTGTCTGAGAGCTTTCTTGCTTTGCTTCTTTGTGTTGTTGAAACTCTTCTAAAGGTATTGATTGACCCCCCTCAGGATGGTATTCTCCCCTTTTTAATCAGTCTTGTTCTCTCTGTAGATCAGCATGTTTTTCTGTTTTTCTTTTTTTTCTTTCTGTTTGGTCAGCTCCTGTCCTCTGCTATTGTTTTATATTTGTCAGAAATGACAACTGAAAGCCTTTTTATTTCTTTTTCCAGAGCGTTGACGACTTTCCCCAGGGGCTTTTGAAACTTCTTTTGGAATCCTTAGGTTTATCCGGTATTCTCCCTTTTTTCCCCAGAATTTCGGTTGTTAAACAACGATAAGGCTTAGGCTTCTTATTTTTTCCTAGCTCAAGCAGCCCGACTTCCAGCCTACCCTTCTCATCCAACTTGTATTTGAGCCTGGTTTTGTCTGTGCAGTGAAACTCTTTGTCAAGTTCACTCTCAACAGTAAAGGTTGTTGTTGCAAGGCTGCCGGGGATTTTAGGAAGTTCAGCCCAGGATGGTGTTTCGTCAGGTATGTTCATCATAGTCTGGCGTGGCGCAGGGGTTGATGAGGCTTTGGGTTCAAGCTCAAACTCTGTTGTTTCAGTGCTGCTGCCTGTGGCTCTATAGTCTTCATCATCATCGCTGCGATCATCTGGTGGGATGAGAGGGTCTCTTTCATTGTGAACAACTTCTGTCATTCTTTTATATTGTACTTTTTTTCATTTGCTTTCAATGTGTATGGCTTCTGTGAGTGAAAGTCTGAGACCAACCCATGGAACGAAAACACGAAACAGTCTCAAGGCTGACCAAGTCAAGCATGGGGTGACCTTCAGCCCCAACAAGGTGTTGCCTGGGGAAACCCTGCAAGTTGCCATGTCCAAGCTTGATAAAGAGGTCATTCTTGTCTTAAGTTCGTTGGCACTGTGCTTCAACCTCAATGTCAGCGATGAGAAAAAAAAAACTTCCTTGTCAACAATGTTGTGCGGGCACTTGTCTCAAGACTGAAAGTGAAGTTTGTTGGGGAGATCCTCCAAGATACCAACATGTTTGATCGGTACAAACTTTATGAGGATCTGTTCCTTCCTAAGGAAGAGCGCGAAAACATGTTTTTGAGGGGATCCAGAGCGAGGACTCAAGTAAAATATGCTCAAACACTGGAGATGTTATCAAGATTCAATCATTTATCCTCCTGCTCATTAATGCACAGGTGTGCATCTTGTACGCACAGAAAATGAAAAGGATGCACAGTTTTTTGGCAAAGTGCATTCTTTGGGATGCAGGAAAAAAGTTTCGACTAGTTAGGAATTTCATTTTGACCTACAACATCTATGCAAAAGAGTTTATTTGATATTGTTCAGCCTTCAACATTGGGGAAACCTGAAAGTGATACTGATCTGGGGGATGATACCCAGGTGAAGAAATGCAAATTTTATCCTAAATAGCTGGAGGAGTTTCAATGATTAAAATATGATTCGACTGAAAAGCAAGTAAAGTACAAAAATTTGTCTCGATGGGTATCACTGTAAACTTAAATCATTCTTGCTTTGCCTATTACTAAAAGTAAATAAATTTTAGTAATAGGCAAAGGACCTCTGAAAAGCAAAAAGAACCCCCAACTCCTAAGGACCCATGGTCCCAAGGACCCTTAACTAACAAAACTGGTTGGTGCTCTGAAGTACGTCCTAGGGTTGTACCCCTGACTACTGAGATGAGTGAAACCAAGTCCTCTCAACCAAGATGCCTAAAAAGGTAACCTCAATCATTGAAGAAGAATTGAAGATTGGAAGAAAGCCTTGAAACGCTTGCCTAAGGTTTTTCATCCACAGCATTTCTTAACATTCTTAATGTGACTTCCACCTGTATTTCTGTAACTCAACAGAAACCCAGAAAACGTTTCTTGTTTCTTAATGAATAAGAAGTAGTCATTAGCATTTAATTTAAGCATTTTGCTCCCCTGGGTTCACCCTTGAAAAGAAATGTCCACTAACATCAAGCCAGTGATGTCATATAAAAAAAATCAACTTTTTCGCATTATGTTTCAAGAAACATGGCAGAATTTGTTTTTCTTGAAATGTTTTTTAACTTGTTAAAAAAATCACAAATTTGTTCTTATCCCAAGTGTTGTGAAAAATGTACAAAATATAATATAAAAAATATATTTTCAGGCTTTTTATCAGTACTGAGTACTAACAGTCTCAAAATCATGATATTCACAATCATAATCAATTAGCAGCTTGTCATGACCTTTAAAATTTGCCCTTGAAGTATAATTACTAGACTCAAATTACTTGTAAACCCTCAACAGTAAATTTCCAGGATTTAACTGGAGTCTTTGAACAGAGCAAAGCTTATGACTAGGAATGGGACATATATTTTGCATGTTTTTCTTAACATGTTGGGCCGTATGTAATATTCTAGAGCCAATAAACCAGCCAAAACTCGAGAACGCAACTCTATTTTAATTCAAGCGACTGACAACGTGTTTCATCTGACCGAACTACTGGAAAACTACTGGAGGAGCGGTTACACAGCTCACAACATTCTACACTCCCCCACTAAGCCATGGTTTTGTCGGTACCTCGTCGCCAGTGTAATATTCTAGAGCCAATAAACCAGCCAAAACTCGAGAACGCAACTCTATTTTAATTCAAGTGACTGACGTGTTTCATCCGACCGAACTACTGGAAAACTACTGGAGGAGCGGTCACACAGCTCACAACATTCTACACCGTAACAAATTTGTGACTTTTGACAGCATAAAAAAGATTTCAATAACAAAAATCCCACCATGTTTCAAGCACTATCCCAGGATATCTCTAGACGATATAAATTATGAAGAGTTTTGATATTCATCATGTGCCACATATTTGCAATTAGGCAAGGTCTTAGTGGACATCCCCTCTTAATCGGCCAGATCTTTTTAAGCAAGACAAGAAATTTTGAAGCTATTTTAAGAAAATGTTTGTTAAAATTCTGGGTTTCTACCTATGACTTATCATGCGACAGAAACCAGAGATAGGCACTGGCCTGATGGGCCACTTGCTTCACATGTGTACTTTACTTTTACCTTGTCATATATCACAAAAAGGCTGATTAAACATGCTATCAGATAAACTACTAGCCGAAGAATAGTCTGATCCACTGGGGACCATTGTAGACTTGATACAGTGTGGTATCAACTCCTTCTTCCCCCTCAAAGTCAGAGATGTTGCTATCCTCAGGAACATACTCAACAAATGCAAACTTCCTCTGTAGTACACCTTCTTACTGGTTTGTTGCCATACATGTTGTAATTACTCTTCGTTAGTTGTAGTAAATTTGACCCCCAAAATGGGTCAATTAAGCACCAAATGTAAAGCTACGCATCCTCAACTACCCTTCAGTGGAAACGTTCAAAGAAAAAACCAAATTTGGATGAAAATAATTAATAACGTAGCAAATTCAGTGAAAAATCTCAGACATGAGAACTCCAGATAGAAATACTACATACTTCATTGAGACAGTCACTGTCAGTGATTTTTTGTCCATCATGCCACGTGCGCATTGGTCTACGCTTAACAGATTAAAGTGCCAATGAAGTAAAAAATAATTGCTGCTTATTTGAAAGGCTTTTCAAAGTAAAGAAGAATGGCATTTTCCTTTTTAGTGCAGGGTGCACTACTGGGATGGTTTAGGGGGCACTAAGGCACTAATTCACTAACACTAACACAGTAAGGTGTAAACTTTAGTATTTGTTGAATTAATTAATTTCAATTAATTAATTAGCATCATGGTAAGGGGGTGGGGTAGGTACCTCTGTTTACTATGTAAAACATATCATACTTATGTTACTTCTATGATAACATCACGAACCTATATATGTTTCCAAAAATCTCTTGCCATCCAATAAGTCACTAATGCAACAACACAATAAGGTGTAAACTTTAATGTTTGTTTAATTAATTAATTTCAATTAGTCGATTAGCCTTGTGGGAAGGGGTGCTGGGTGGGGTAGTTGTAGGTGCCCATGTGCATTACGCAAAACGTGTCATACTTACGTTACTTCTTTGATAACATGACAGAAATATATATATGGTTTTGCAAATCTCATGCCATCCTTGTGGTGCTATTCTCTTAAGAACAAAAGCAATTTGCTCTAAACGCACGCACAGATTAGTTAGCTCCAAAGTCGACTGTATGTTAGGTGAAAGATACATTTCACATGGGACTACCCACGAACGTTGAGTTCTTTTCCTTGTGGTAGAACATAACATGTAAGACGCATGCATTCTAGCATTGCTAGTGTGATAAATTCTTGAGTTCAGATGCACGTTTTTTTTTTTTGTAATGAGTGACACCACACTCTCGTTTTGGCCAGGGATAGCAGCTATATTTCAGGATCAGGTAACGTCAGTTCTCCTTTTTTTGTTGCAAAGAACGCTAGTGTGACTTCGTATCTTCTGGAATCTTCCGTAGCTCAATTCAAGAAATGTCGTCTGTTGTGTGTTTTCCAGTTTTCAAATAAAGACTGGAAACATATGGCATAATCTCCTTGGCAGTTCGTTTGTTTTTTTTCTATGAAAGAGAGCCAAAAGTTCATATTCAGCCGAAACTTTCCTGCGTTAATCACATGTAAAACTAGTAAATTTGTGACAAAAGAAACGTCGTCATTATTGCGGCAGACTCTGTGGCACTTACTGAATCTGCCAATTGATTTTATCAGTCGATGAGGTGACTTGCTAACCAATGTGGGATATAATTTCGGTCAGGTAAAGATCTCTGCCTTCAATTCTTCTTGTTGAAACGTTCCTCAGTGGTACTACTTGATAGCATTGTGTATTAGTTTGATGTGGTTTTATTGTTAACACCAAAGCTGGCAACAGAATAAGAATGCACTATTCTGTGACTTGACGTGAGTATTTGATAGTAAGATTAGTTCTTGTTTATCGGTGAAATGAAAATTTGCGTTTTGAATAAAATAAAATTGTTCCTCTTCGACTTTTCAGCAGATATTTAACTTTTATATTCCATTTTTCTCCAGCAGTGAGTAAAAAAATAGACATCTTTCTTATATTTTCGTGGAAACAAAGGTATCTTGTTGCATACATTGGCAAGGAAAACAAAAGTATCAAATTACAAACACTGGCGTGAAAAGTAAAATTGTCACATTTGCTACAAAATGAACGAAACTCAACATGAAATACCACGATAAATTTAAAACCGTCTTGATAAACAGTAATTGTAAGTTATCTTTGGACTTTGAAAGAAAACACAAACATGAAACACACACTGCTAAGATTATGTCTTACCAAGTTTTTGTCCGTTCATATTCTGCAAAGGGGAAAAGGCCTAGTTGACTACCAAGGGAGAGAACGGCAGGGGTGATACCTGTGTGACTACTGTATCAGAGCCGTAAATTACACTCTGCACTATCTGAGATTGTCTCACTAGTTTGTTTTAGAGATGGTGTCATAATTAGTTCCACTTAAACAGCAAAACACTGAATTGAGAATATCTCTAGAAATATTGTAGCAGTGTTCTTCCAACTTGGCACCAGAAATGTGCATCACAAAAGAAACAGAATGACACCTTCTGTGTTGTTGCCATGGCAACACTCTTGTCTCCAGTCTCTTTCTGTGAAAAACAAATATGCTCATTTTAACCCTTTGAAGTGGGACAGAGGGTCTTGCTCGGAACACGCATGGTTCTCAAATTGTCTTAACTCTCCCCATTAGATTGTTGGGAGTGGATGATCCTTGTTTAAGATAAATTCTGGGAATTCTAGTTTTAATTAAAACAGATCCAGCTGCATAACTGTTGTCATGGCGACAACACAACGGGTGTCATTTTGTTTCCTTAGTAATGTACATTTCTGGTGCCAAGTTTAAAGAACACTGCTGTAATATTTAGAACTAGGGATATTGAGTGTTGAACTGTTATAGTAGAAACACCTATGACGTCATCACTTTCCTCATTTGCATGATACAAATTAAAATGTAATATCTCTAAAACAAAAAAAGATATTCCAGAAAGGAAAAGGCCACTCTTCTTTACTTTGAAAAACCTTTCAAATAAGCAGCAATTATTTTTCACTTCATAGGCACTTTAAGGGTTAAGTGGAGTACTGCCTAGGAGTGACTCCTGGGGCCCGTTTCTCGAAAGCCCCGGAAACTTTTCGGGCCCCTAAAGCCATTTTTAGTTCATCTGCATCTAAAAATGGAGAAGTGTATAGGCCTGAAACGTCTTGTATGAAGAGAACCTCTGTTCACATTAAGAATATGTGAATAAAACAGCTCTGTAATCGTAAGGTTTGAGATTTTGTTATGGCTTTCCAGGCCCAAAAAGTTTCCGGGCCTTTCAAGAAACGGGTTCCTGGTGTCTACTTATTACATGTATGTATAATCATGTGGTATACATGTATGCTTGATTGATTGCTCAGTTAATTACTACTACCAGTAATAGTTCATTTCGTCTTACTGTGGAATAAATAGATATCCTGTAATGGAATGTTTGCTGTTATTTTATTTTTGTAGTTGAATGTCACAGACGAACAAATTGTGAAAAGTCTTTGCAATATATTTCAAGTCTCTTTGAAGGTACTGTGACAGTCTTTTAATCTTGAGTAGTTCTGGCCTGTATAACTTATTGAATTCTCAACCTTGTGTAATGCATTTCAACCTTTCTGATTGGTTCATGGAATCTCAGTTATCCAGTACTGGAAATGACAGTTGGTCATCGGACATTGTCCGACCTAATTTTGAATATGTCTGACCAATTTCAAATTGATTGGACATGACGTCTGAACATTTCACCGACACATTTTCACTCTTTCTTTTGAAGTTATTGGTCATCCATAAAATTTGGCAAGATACATTGTCAAAGGGCTTAAAATTGCGACTGATATTGTTGCCAATGCAGCTAACATTTCATGTTTGGCGACCACAAATTCTGGTTTGGTGGACATGTAAATGGCAACTACATTTCTCTGTTTTGATGATCAATAACGGTTATTTTCTCAGACATAACCTTTCAGAAACACACAGTATAAAGAAAAGGAGTAAATCCATGCTTTTGCTTTGCTGTAAAGGATTCTCTTATATCGATAAACTTCCGGATGGCTAACCATGTTTGAAATCACCCTCTAATGTATTGCAAACCCTTGAGCATTGAGTACATCATGTATGCCCAAGGATTGTGTCTCATATAAATTAGTAATGCATGGATCCTTTGTAATTACGTCAGCAGACATTAGGTATGTATACAGAATTAGCGGCCAAAAAAGTCTTGGAAATTTTTTCTTTACAGATTTTATGCATAGAGTCCTTTTTAGTCCAGAGTGCACTATTGGGATGGTTTTGGGGGCTGCGTGCCGTTAAGGCACTAAGCTGCGATGTCGCTATGGTGCTATGGCACTATGGCCCTATGGTGCTAAAGCCCCAGCCAAACGATTGCAACATGCCAACGCAACATATTGCAACATTGTTGGGCGCAACATGTTGCGCGTGTTTGGCCACCGTGTTGTGACATGTTGCGACATGTTGGGTGTTGTCTGAACTTTGACCATTTTCAAACTTGAGCCAACAACACCCAACATGTCACGACACATCGCAACATGGTGGCCAAATGCACGCAATATGTTGCGCCCAACAGTGTTGCAATATGTTGCATTGACATGTTGCGATCATTTGGCCAGGGCTTAAGGTGTAAAACTTTAATGTTTGTTTAATTAATTAATTTCAATTAATTAATTAGTCTAGAGGCAAGGAAGTGGTGGGGGTGGGGTGGGAAAGGTTCATGTGTACTCTACGTAAAACATGTTCCATCGCCGTCAGTTAGGTGTGAACATCGCAAAGCTATATATTTGTTTCAGGTAACCCCTTGCTCTCCTTGTGGTACCATTCTCTTTAGAACAAAACTAATTTGCTCTAAATGCATGCGTAGATAAGTTAGCACTTGTGGCTTCTATATTAGGTGGAGGATACATTGCATACGAAATCGCGCTCAAATGTTGAGTGGTTTTCCTTAGGGTAGAACTCAACATGTAAGACGCATGCGCTCTAGTATCGTTAGTGTTATACAATATCTTTCCATGCGGTATTTTATATGTCGTGTCATGTGACCAAGGACCGCAGTTATGTTTCAGGTAGCGCCAATTATCCCTTTTTTATTTCAAAAGTGAAACGTTACTTTGGCTGTGTAGCTTTTAGAATAACACACAGGTTGGTTCAACAAATTCAATCTACAATAGGGTTCAAATGCATTGCTTCTCCTTAGCAGCTTGTTAATTTCTTGCCTTCATTGTGTCTGTAAGACAGACCAGAAAGTTCCCAAGTTAGTGGCTTTAATACTCCGCAAATTGTAAATTTGTGACAAAAGAAACCAGGAAAGTGCTCAAATGTTGCTGCAGACTCCGTGGCACCTAATGAAAGTGCAAATTAATTTAATTGGTCTTTGAGGAGACTCACTCATATCGGCCAAGTAGCGTTGTTTATCTTCAATACTTTTCGTTGAAACGCTTCTCAGCCAACAATATTGTTGTGTGTTAATTTTGAATTGTTTTATTGTTAACAACAAAGGTGGCAACAGAAAAAGAATGTGGTATTTCGTGACTATCTGATAATTAAATTAGTTCTTGTTCATTGGTGATAAGGAAATTTGCATTTTTAGTAAAACAACATCGTTTCTGTTCCGTTTCTTCATCATTACATCAGATATTTAACTTTCTTTCATTTATCTCCAAAAAATAAGCACATCTTCAGTGTGTTTTGGAGAAAACAAGGGTTTCATATTATGTGCCTTTGTGAGGAAAACAAAAGTATCAAGTTGCAAAGTTGGCATGAAGAGCTAAATTGTCATGTTTGCTGCTTGAAAGTGTTATTGAATTTAAAATGTACGAAAATCAATGTAAAACACCAGTGGTAATTTGTACGTAATTTTTGGAACTTGAATGAAAATACAACCTTGAAACAAACACATCGCTAAGGGGAAAAGCCCTAGCAGACTACCCAGGTAGACACAAACCGGAAGTAAACCGAGCAGGGACTACCATGCCAGAGCTATCAACTGCGCTCTGCACTATCTGTGATTGTCTCACTAGTCTGAATAAAACTCCTACTTGATTTTCAAAATATTAATGGTGACTCAAGAATTTTTTTAATGTTGAGCCCTGGCCTTTTGAAAGGTGGATAAGGCTATCCACTGGATAAATCAGTCTCCAGTGGATAGTGTTATCCAGCCTTTGAACAACCGGGGCCTGAACTCATAACAGTTTGAGCCAAATTTGATAGGTAACTCATAAAGCAGAAGTGGTAATCTTTCCCATACTTGCCATGTAAAGTATTCTTCAAAAATCAACCTATAATGCATTACGTGCATTGCGATTTGCTGTTGGCACTTCATGTATGTAAAACCAGGTTTGCTTGAATAACATATAACCAGGAGAGATCAATGCGGTCATCTAGTAGATAAAGTCATCTAGTTAACCATAAATGATGAATAAGTCAATTTTAAATGCAGTTTTGAACAATTCGTATTGAAAATGTTTATGCTAATGAATTTCATTTCCCCTCAGAGACTGATAAAATTTATGCTTTCAGTAGGTGCCAAGGAGTCTGCAGCAATATTTGAGCAGTTTCCTGGGTTTCTTTGTACAATTTGACAAGTTTTAATGCCACTTACTTGGGAAAGTTTCAGTTGCGGGTATGAACATTTTGGTCTGTTTGATAGAGACAATTAGAGGATGAAATAAATGCACTAGTGTGGTGTGGAAACATTGGACGACATTTCTTGAAACAAGTAAGGTATAGTTCCAAAAGACACACAGTCACAGTTACCTGTTACCTATCTTCTTTGTGCCATGTGGCACATAAGGCCTCAACACAATCCCGCCAACCAGCTCTGTCAGCCGCTGCGATTTGTACCTCACTCCAGTTCTTCCATCCAGCTTTTNGCTCCTGAGCATCCTCTCGGCTTTGGCTCAAGGGCGTCATACTTTGCCTACCTAAGCAAGGTACCACATTAGCCCCAAGAGAAGGTTGCCTTCGAGTGTTTAAGGTTTCTGTAATCTGCTTTGTTTTAAGGGGGCGGGTGATTGACCCACCGCCCAACCCCCAACCTGAAGGACCAGGGGCTGTTCTTTGTCTGGTCTCTACCCCTCGACCAATCCGGCATGGTTAGACCTGCCAGGGACTATAGTCCCAGCCAGCACAGCTCCTAGGGTCATTGAGACACCCAAGCCTCACCACCACTACAAGGTGACAGCCCAATGTGAAGACGCAGTCACAGTAGCATTCTTGTATCAATGCTAGAACGCATGCATATGACTTGTTTGGGTTATACCACAAGGAAAAGTGCTCAACGTTAGTGTGTGATCTTGTATGAAATGTATCTTCCACCTGATATATAGTTGACATTAACGCTTATTAGTCTGCGCATGTGTTTAGAGCAAATATTGCTTTTGTTCTAAAGAGAAAAGTACCACAAGGAGAGCAAGAGGTTTCCTGAAACAAATATATAGCTTTTGGAAGCGACCAAAGAAGTAGTGTAGGTACACACTCATGTTACATAGTGCTCACAAGGACCTTCCCCATGCTACCCCCCTTACTGCAAGCCTTATTAATTAATTGAAATTAATTAATTAAACAAACATTAAAGTTTACACCTTATGGCCATAGTACCATATTGCCATAGTGCTTTAGTGGACATCAACCCCCAAACCATCCCAATAGTGCACTCTGCACTGAAAAGGAGAGAAAAAGAGAAATGCAAGGAACCAACGAGGAATATTGTCGATAAAATTTAAACTAATCACTTGGTGAGTAGATCGTTTCACCTCCATGTTGAATTTAACTTGGACTTTGCCAAGACTGCAAAAGCCCTCACACATTGGTCAGCAGATTCACAAAAAGTCTAACAGAAAGTGAAGGAGCAAAGGAAGGATAAAGTGAATGTCCAATCCACACCTACAACTTGGAGAATACTTTTTTCCAAGTCAGAAACAATATCAGGCTCTTAACATGTAATAATCTATATGTATCCACTTGTTGTTAATATACTTATCAGGTGCAAAATTATTAATTGCAAACTAAACAGCTGTACTACTGTTTTGGACAGTTGTCAAATTGAGTTCCATTATTGGTCGATATTACACACTTAGCTTAAGCTACTATTTTGTGACATGGATTTTAATAACTACAAATGTCTTTCAACAGATGTCAACAACTGCCAGCATTTTACAAACAAATTAATAATTCATGAGATAAACAACAGAATGACTTAGCTTGGGTTACAATAGATAGATTGAAACTTACATGTACTAGAGATATAGAACTGACCAACTGATGAACTTTACAAGTTCCTTACAGCTAATAACATCAAAGCAAACTGACCAAAAGTTCAATATACCAGACTGAAAAAACACCATTGACTGACGGACATTCTTTGCTCTGGTTTTGAAAATTTCAGTCACCAAAAAAAAACACAGTTCTGCACTTGCCCTCATTGTTACACCACATGAACTAATAGTTATTCCTGGGTTTACTCTTACCTATGTTCATTTTATTGGTTTTATTCCAAAATAGTGTACTTTAACATGTGTAAATTTACATGTATATCTGTGCAATTTTGCAAAATGGCCTGTTAGGTTTCAGCTTGGTCTTCGATGCAAAGCCTAGCTGACTGTTGTAAACCTGGGGTGGGGGAGGGGGTAGGGGATCCATCAAAGCTTAGCTGGGAACATGGCCTAGGCATTGCCCTATCTGCTGGTGGTTTGGTGGCGGCCAGCCATCAAAACCAAGGGGGAGAGGAGGGTGCCTTAACATAGCTAGACCAGAATATTCAGTAATAAATGACATTGATTTTGACTGTGTGGCTGGGCACTTTGCTCAGTTGTTGAACATTGCTTGAGGTTCCCATGTTGACAGGGGACCATGCTGGATAAGAGGTACATGCCACGGGGATACGTGATAGGCCAATTGCCTAGCAAGGAGGGTGGTTTAGGCCCGTGGGACTGTCTTTGAGCCCTTTGGGGTCAAGTTTTTGTGAAGACGGTCAGATATATGATGTTACAAAAATTTTGCTAACTACATGATTATTGTATTCTGACTCTTTTCTCAGAGCTCTGAGGTTTCTTGTCAAACAGTTTACTTACCATCACTAGCAGGAGATGTATGTGACATGAATCTCAATACAGGTAAAACATTATTAACTCATGAATTGGGTATTTAAGCAGGTTAAAGGCATAGTAAGGGGATAAGATTATGCAAATTAGAGTTTGGTCAATCGTCTGTTAACTTTTTCTGCAGTTCCGTTGTCTTTCAGGTGTATGTATCATTAGACATCTCTTGGGCAAAAAGTTAATAGTTTTATGTAGATGTGAATGTTGCAACGAGAATGAAACTGTAAATCCAGATAACTCAAATTAAATGGTTGTTAAAACTTCTGGTTAATTAATTTGTTGATCAGGGAAAATATCGATGGCAGCTTGTTTTAAGGTAATTCCTCTGAAATAAAAGTGACAATAGATTTTTGTTCAAACTTTGTCCGCTGAATATTTGTTATTTTATAACTTCAGTTTTGAAATAAACTAGTGAGACAATCTCAGATAGTGCAGAGTGTAATGCAGGACTGTCATTAAGCTTCGAGTCATCCTTTGTCTGTATCTAGTGACTCTTAACTTGTTGGTTTGAGTGAATTGTGTCAACAGCAGGCAAGTTCACCCATAACGTTAAGAGCCCAACAAGCATACAACACCGGTTTTTATGGGTTATGCCCTTTAATGTCAGCTCGGTAATGTACAGCAGTTGTAATCCAGTCATCTACATAGGTGACGAGTAGTGATCCCAAAGACATCTTGGGCTTTGCCCCTTGACAAACATGGGTGTATACTGTAGAAACCTTGATTTTAGTCATTCATGTAATGTTATCATTGTGAGTGTGTGCACTTATCAGAGAAAAATAACTCGAAATCACTTTTTTCAATGCAAACTTGTATTTCTTAATCTTAATCTTTTAATGGATAAACAGCAAGAACAACAACTGTCATGGATAATTGCCATGCTTTCACGCATCTCAACATCCCAGTGTTCCTAGCAGGCCCCATTATTGGCAATTTCTGCCGATTGCAATACTACAAATGCTATGCCTTGTTGTTTACAAATGACACATAAACCATTATGTCCAGCAACAGTTCTTGGACTGTACAGCCCACAACAAATAATTATCTCAAATAAATCAGCATGGCTGATTAGCTCAGGCAGACCCAAGTTCAACACCTTGGCCAAGCTAGTAAATAGTTAACTGGTTTGCCTTCCTCCAGTTGGGGTTTTTAACCTTGTTGTTTGATTTGATTCATTTGTTCCTGACATTGAATTTATTCTTTTTAAACACACCGACGGTAAATAAAGGTTATTTATTTATTTTAGCTACATATATGACAGTAACTTGGTTATCTTGAATTGTGTACGAGATGTACAGCTTTAGCAGTGTATATATACTTTGGCATTGCTTTTGAGTAACCTCTTTGGTGTCTTTTTACTGCGTTAAGAAGACCACCCAAGTGACTTTCCATACTCGTAGATGGGCATATATATTCAGAGTACCATTTGTGGTCGTTCTTGCTTAGAGAGAAAGCAGATGATGATGGCAAGTTGTTTCTGATTTGCATAGATCTTTTTCCAGATGACTTACACAGCGTATTAAAGTGACATCCATAATTTTTTCTCAAATTCTTTAGTAATAGAAATGTAGACCATATAGAGTGACATCCATAATCGT